TGGAACCCAACATGCTTGGGTTCGGTGGAACCCAGCATGCCTGGGTTCAGTCAAACCCAAATGCTGGGTTCACAAGGAACCTAGCACGCCTGGGTTTGGTTGAACCCAAGCATTGGGTTCACAAGGAACCCAGCACGCCTGGGTTCCTTCGAACCCAAGTGAAATTTTTTTTTTAAAAAAAAAAATTCTGCTTTTGTTTTTTGGATTTTGTTGTTTGACGGTAATGAAAAATTGATTGATGAAGATGAAGAAGGCAAGGCAAGGCAGTCACTAGGTTTCTGCAGGTTTTTGTAGGTGTTGGGTTCGAAATCAAACCCAGCAGGTGCTTGCTGGGTTTCGTTTCAAACCCAATGGTTGCTAGGTTCGAGCAGCCGTTAGGTTCCTGCAAGTGAGGCGTTGGGTTCTGTTTTGAACCCAACAGCCATTAGGTCGATGGATCTGTTCAGTTTGATTTGGTTATCGATTTGTTGTCTGTGTATTATCATTCTTGAGGTGCTGGTTTTGATTTTGAACCTAGTAGTGATCAAACCCAGCAAGCGTTGGGTTCTGTTTCAAACCCAGCAACTATTAGGTCGAAGGATCCATTGAGTTTAATCTGTTGATTTGTTGTGTTATCCTTGAATTTAATATTAGGAGGTGTTAGGGTTTGCAGAAGGTGAAAGGAAAGGGAGAGGAAGAAGAAAGGGAAAAAGGAAAAACAGAGGAAGAAAAAAAAAAAAAAAAGAAATTTTTTTAGGTTTTTTCTTGCCATTTCATTTTTTTGCCACATTGTACATCCTAGGTGTCAAAATGCTTTTACAAGTCATCCTTTTCTCGTCAAGTAACAGGACACATAAGTTGATATTTAACGGAATGACCAAATTGGGGTGAAATTGGTAAATAGTAAGGACCAAATCAAGGATTTTTTTAATTTAGGGACTAAATCAAGGGTCCATACAATAGTTCAGGGATCAAAATGGGGTTTTAACATTTCCTTTACTAATTTTTATGGACTAAATTCAATAAATAGTACATTAATTATGTGATTTATTTTAGTTTAATATAAAAACAATTTTTTTTTTTTCAAAATGATTTATAAATTATCAATTTTGTTAATTGACTAACGGAATTCTTTCTAGCGGTTGACAAGCTGCCATTTAAAATTTTGAAAAATGTTAAATATGGTACATGTATTTTTATTTTTTTTACAACATTTTGGTTTTTAAATTCAATTTTTTTGTCAAATATAATAATTAACCAAGATGAAATTTCAATTTACATTCATTAAGATTCTAATTTTAATTTA